CTAGCAATCCAAAACAGTCCAGTGGAACCTGAGCAGTGGGTGTTGCCTTCTGACACACTTCCAGTGATGTCAGGGGGTGTGGCATATGCAAACAAGTTATGCTAATGAGTTATGCTAATGAGCTCCTGCGCCTCTTTTTCTACAAAATGACCCCTGCTAACTGGGAATTCTCAGCTCATGACTCTACTACAGACCCTACTACTTTTGGCAAACACATTATTATTGTCACTTACTTGTTCCTGCCCCTCCACCGGAGAGCTCAGTGAAAAGCTCTGCCCTCTTGAATCACCATTCAATTCTTGTCTACCCTGTCTCCATGAATCATGTATACACATACCTGGTCTCTATCTATCATTCACTGTCATTTGTTTTATCAGTTGGATTTGGGTGATTAAATAACAGTGGCAACCTGGTTCCTACTTTGATTCCTTCCAAAGCCACTTCCTCACCTCGCAAGGCACATGCCTTCCATTTCCTGTCCCGCTCATAGCTGGCAGTTGTGGCACACCACAGTTGTCCATCATCATCGCCTACCCTGGTACACATGGAGTATGATTTCCCACTAAACGTGAAGGGGAAGTGGCACGGCCGTGGTTCTGTAGAAGCACAAGGTAGGAGACAAAGCAATAAGAGAAATTCTTCCACTGGAGGAAGGCTCCTTGCACCAGTGAAAAAGGTGTTCCGCTGTTAGCACGCTGGAATCATTAGATGGCATTCTTGGGATTGTACAGTTTTGTTTTCAGTTTGGGAGGGAAGGAAGGCTTTAAAGTATATTATCCTGTTCATACTTCCTAGAGAAGATCTCTGAATCTACAATGTATTTTATGTCATTACATTTCTAGCCCACCATCCCCTGCTCAGGGTGGGTTACAACACTGTAATAAATTACAATAAAATAATCTGACATAATATCGACAATTGTTAAAATCCAGTTTTAACATCATTTATGGTGCCAATTAATACAACTGCTCCTGGGTCCACTCCACATATGTGCACAGCAGATGGTAGCCAATTTTACAGAAGGTAGGCCGAGGAGTAGAAGCCATATAAGAGGGAAGTGTGCTGAGGGAGGTCAGTACTGATAGAACTCAACGATAGGCCTGGCGGAACATCTTTGTTTTACAAGCCCTGCGAATCTGTAGTAAGTCCTGCAGGTCCTGGATCTGTCTCTTGAGAGTGTTCCACCAGGCTGGTGCCAAAGCCAAAAAAGCTCTGGCTCTGGTTGAGGCTAAGTGAACCTCCTTCAAGCTGGGGACCACCAGCAGATGTCGTGTGGAATGCAGTGAAGTCCAATCAGCTTCCATATGCAAAAGACCTTGAAGGTTCCATATGCAACTGACATTCCAACTGCCTTGCGGGGAGGGGGGTGAGTTTGAGGTGTGGAATGCAGTGAAGTCCAATCAGCTTCCATATGCAAAAGACCTTGAAGGTTCCATATGCAACTGACATTCCAACTGCCTTGCGGGGAGGGGGGTGAGTTTGAGGTGTGGAATGCAGTGAAGTCCAATCAGCTTCCATATGCAAAAGACCTTGAAGGTTCCATATGCAACTGACATTCCAACTGCCTTGCGGGGAGGGGGGTGAGTTTGAGGTGTGGAATGCAGTGAAGTCCAATCAGCTTCCATATGCAAAAGACCTTGAAGGTTCCATATGCAACTGACATTCCAACTGCCTTGCGGGGAGGGGGGTGAGTTTGAGGTGTGGAATGCAGTGAAGTCCAATCAGCTTCCATATGCAAAAGACCTTGAAGGTTCCATATGCAACTGACATTCCAACTGCCTTGCGGGGAGGGGGGTGAGTTTGAGGTGTGGAATGCAGTGAAGTCCAATCAGCTTCCATATGCAAAAGACCTTGAAGGTTCCATATGCAACTGACATTCCAACTGCCTTGCGGGGAGGGGGGTGAGTTTGAGGTGTGGAATGCAGTGAAGTCCAATCAGCTTCCATATGCAAAAGACCTTGAAGGTTCCATATGCAACTGACATTCCAACTGCCTTGCGGGGAGGGGGGTGAGTTTGAGGTGTGGAATGCAGTGAAGTCCAATCAGCTTCCATATGCAAAAGACCTTGAAGGTTCCATATGCAACTGACATTCCAACTGCCTTGCGGGGAGGGGGGTGAGTTTGAGGTGTGGAATGCAGTGAAGTCCAATCAGCTTCCATATGCAAAAGACCTTGAAGGTTCCATATGCAACTGACATTCCAACTGCCTTGCGGGGAGGGGGGTGAGTTTGAGGTGTGGAATGCAGTGAAGTCCAATCAGCTTCCATATGCAAAAGACCTTGAAGGTTCCATATGCAACTGACATTCCAACTGCCTTGCGGGGAGGGGGGTGAGTTTGAGGTGTGGAATGCAGTGAAGTCCAATCAGCTTCCATATGCAAAAGACCTTGAAGGTTCCATATGCAACTGACATTCCAACTGCCTTGCGGGGAGGGGGGTGAGTTTGAGGTGTGGAGAACAGTGAAGTTCAATCAGCTTCCATATGCAAAAGACCTTGAAGGTTCCATATGCAACTGACATTCCAACTGCCTTGCGGGGAGGGGGGTGAGTTTGAGGTGTGGAATGCAGTGAAGTCCAATCAGCTTCCATATGCAAAAGACCTTGGAACGCTGGGCGGGACTGCACAAAAGCAGCTAGTCAACCCAGCCAGCGTCTTCTGAGTGGCAGTTCTTCCAGCCTAACACTAAAGACGGGCATTTTAGAATGTTCATATAGAATGTTCTTACTCAATTATATATAAGGAGAGAATAATTACTCAATTATATATAAGGAGAGATGTGGTATCTGTTGTTATTTTTCATAATGTTGAATGGGGGAGGTGGCTCAATGGTGGAACATATGCTTGGCATGCAGAAAGTCCCAGGTTTAATCCCTGGCACCTCCAGCTAGAAAGATCAGGTGGCAGGTAATGTGAAAGACCTCTGCCTGTGACCCTGGAGAGCTGCTGCCAGTCTGAGTAGACAACACTGACCTTGACGGACCAAGAGTCTGATTCAGTATAAGGCAGCATCGTGTGGGGGGTGCTGAAGTCCTCATTTGCCTAGGGTGTGGAAAACATGTGGGGCAGCCCTACCTGCTACAATGATGTAATTATCTTTCATATGTTTTATCAAGCTGCTTTGCTTTCCAGGTACACCTTCTCTCTCCTGTAATGGACTGTTCGGCTTGATTTATGGGATCTAACGTGTTTGTGGGCTTTCCTCTCTGTTTCCCTCTCTGTCTAGTTCATTATTAGTCTTTGCCTATTTCATTTGAATATTATTTATTTATTCATTAAATTGGATTTACTAGGCCGCCCTTCCCTACGGATAGGGCTCAGGGCGGCTTACTTAAAACAGGTAATATACAATCTCATACAGTTACATTAAAACAATCCACTTAATAACAGTATATAAAAACAGTCTATATACAGTGCTTATGATGGTGGAAAATCCTAGCTCCCGGGCCTCCGGGGGGGGGGGGGTGGGGGAACAGGGGCTTGGTGAGTTGGCCTAAGAAGGAGGCACGTGCTCTACCACTGAGCCATGCCGCAATCCAGGGCTTTTTTTGTAGAAGAAGCCCAGCAGGAACTCGTTAGCGTAATAGGCCACACCTAACAGCAGAGACCTATTAGGATATTAGGCCACACCCCTGACAGCACAGCTCATTGGCATATTAGGCCACACCCCACATGTTACCAGAAGTGTGGTCATCCAACCACACCCACCTTTTGCTTCTTATTCTGTTTACTTTGTTGTCAAAACCCTGGGCTTTTTTGTAGCAGGAACTTCTTTGCATGTTAGGCCACACACCCCTAATGTAGCCAATCCTAATGAGTGTCTGCTGTTAGGTGTGGTCTATTATGCTAATGAGTTCCTGCTGGATGTGGCCAACTCAGGAGCCAGCCGGAACTCCGTTCCTGTGCGTTCCTGCCCAAAAATAGCCCTGCCGCAATCTATGTCTCTGCACACTTCTTCCTCCCAACTTTTCTTTACACCAATTTAAGAATGAAACTAATCTCTGACTTTCTTAGGTCTACATTGTCCCAACAGCCTTGTCTGACTGGCACACCCATACATTTAATGAGTCACCACAAGTATCCTACTGGTATCAGCACAGTAGCTCCATTTCGCATCTCTATCATGGCTCCCCATTGTGGCACACCAGAAGTTCCCTGTTTCCGCATCTTCATTGGTACACGTGTAGTATGTCCGGCCCTTATAGACGTAAGGGAAGACACAGGCTTGTCCACCAGAATTACCTCCATACTCTAAATACAGACAGAGTTAGAGATTACGTGTAAAGATACATGCCTGCATTTTGTTCACATATTTTTCTACAATCCTTTTTAGGAGAACAAGTGGGCACTTTCACGCATGCTAAATAATGCAGTTTCAATCCACCTCAGTGACCATTTGCAAGTGGATTTGGCCATGTCACACAGCAAAATGCAGTTGCAAAGTGCATTCAAAGTGGATTGAAAGTGTGGGGAATTTCAGACAGGTGCTTTCTCCCGGTAGGGAACCGATTCTCAACCGGGTGCTGGTCTGTCATTTCTGACAGAACCCGGTTGAGAATCGGTTCCCTACCGGGATGAAGTGGCATTTCACACAGGGAAGCCTCTCTTCAGATTAGGAACCGGGAGGGAAGCGA